TGGAAGCTACGTGAAGCCAAGGTCATCAAAACACTTGAGGAGGACAGTTCTCACAGTTGGCACTAATACACACAAAGTATTGATTTCTAATAGATTGGGATGTCTGGCTGTGTAGGAAAAAAAACCCTGGGTGTCCTGATTGACTCTGAGTTGGATTTAAAATCAAATTTTAACACACATTTATTAATTTTAAAGAAACATTGCGAGACTTAGACCCTACCTCGCCTTGGAAGATGCCAAAAAGCTGTCGCATGCTTTTGTTTTTTCACGATTGAACTACTTTAATGCCTTATTTACTGGTCTACCCCCCAAAAAGTATATTAATAGGCTGCAACTAAACCTGAAAGTCGGCACCAAGGTCTGAACCAAAGTTCATGTTTTGATATATTTTGATACACTCGGTTAGTTTTGGTTTCACTGCAACTCTGCGACCGCACTAAAGGACTTTACACGACACGCCTGAGTCCTGTCGTCATCGTCTATGTGGGCGGCGTCTCCCTGTACTTGACATTGATTGGTTTATTAAACATTTCAGCGGGGAGCTTTGAAAAGAATGAATGAATGAAAAATGAACATATGCATATGTTACACCCTGGAAAGGGGATATATTAATAAGGACTCTTGGACACGATGCCTCTTTTCTATCAACTTCAGTGAGAGTGAGGTACTGCGGCCGAGAGCGCCCCCTTCTGACGTCTGTAGGCATGACAACTAAATCGCAACCCTACTTTCTTCAGGGATCAATTGTTGTCAATCATTTTAACTCTTTCACATGACTGCTTTTTCCTTGTTTTCCTCAATTATTTATTTCTGTCTCCATGACTATTTTATTACCTATGCAGCTCATGTCAATAATTAACTTTATCTATCACACATATTTGCCACTATATTATTATTATTATTATGTCATTACTACCTGCAGCACCAACTGCGGTCACAGGAGATTTATAATTGTGTCCTTTCAATGCATTTCTCTGTGCAGCCGCCAAACTTCCTGTAAATAGTCTGAAAGTCCGAACCATCCAAAAAAAAAGCTTTCACACCAGAAACGAACCGACCCATTGTTCATTTTGATCCGGACCGAGACCACCTCTTTCCGTAGGACCAAATGTCGTCTGTTTGGTCCGTGGGAGGTTTCACACCTGTAATTTTGGTTCGGACCAAACGAGGCAGGTGTGAAAGCCCCCTAAGGCAAAATGCGGCAGTTTAAACAAAAACCGGAATGAACACATCAGTCCAGTTTGAGCTGCACTGGCTTCCTGTAGCATCAAGAATTGTTTTTAAAGCTCTTCATGGTTTAGCACCTTCTTAACTCTCCGACCTCTTTATCTGATTATATTCCAGCTGGCTCTCTCAGGTCCTCTGGTGCTGCTTAATGTACCAAGAAGCAACAGTAAAAGGTTTGGTGAAGCAGCGTTCTGCTTTATGCACCGATGGAGTGGAAAAAAACACACACTACCTCTATAGATAGTTTTAATAAGCAGTTCAGATCTACTGTTTTTAACTGATTAAACACACTTCTATTTATGAATTGTTTTGGTTTTGAAGCCCTGTCTGCTTCTGTTTTTCCAGTTTGAACATGTGTTTTCCGCATGTGGTGTATGTATGCTTTATTTATTAGCACTTTCAGCTGCATTTTATGCCTTAAAAGGTGATTCACGAATAAAGACTATACTTATTTATAAAATGTTACAGGTTAAATTTATCAACACCTGTGAGTGCTGCTGTGCCTTTAAAACTCTCACCGTCGCCTCCAAAGTAGCAGAGCAGCTTCAGCACGTCAACATCTTACAGCGTTCCAGTCTTACTTTTCCTTTTGTTGCTGTGGACTTTTACAAACTGTGTCTCCTCTCTGACGACAGTTAAAGTGTTGCATGAGTTCAGTTCAGGTCTGAAAAGCAGAAAACTAGTTTGTTCCCCTGCAGATTCGTCCGGCTGATTTCACCAGAACACTGCAGGCTTCTCTTGAACGCAGCATTTTTGGCTGCAGGTGATTTCCAGGCTGCCAACTTTTCATTATGCACATGGATTATTGTAAAAACTGACCTTTCTCTCCGTCTGAATCGGTTATCTGATATTTGGTGTGTAACTTTTTTTATTTTGTGCCAAAACATAATTAAATTGAAGCGACTTGGGGGAAGCAGAAAAGATAAGAGGAGTCTTGGGAGTAGGCTACAAATCAGAAATTATGAGAATTATAAAGTGTGATTATCAGTAGTGGAAGAAGTATTCAGATCCCTTACTTAAGTAAAAGTACTAATACCACACTTTAAAAGTACTCTGTCACATGTAAAAGTTCTGCATTGAAAATGTAACTTAAGAAACGTTTGAGTAAAAACAGGAAAATAAACAAACTGTAACTTAATACATTTACTCAAGTACAATTTTGAGGTACCTGTACTTTTCTTGAGTATTTTTGTTCACTTTCTACTCTGCCTCATCTCAGAGATGTTGTACTTTTTACTTCACTACATTTATCTGAGCGCTTCAGTTACTTTACAAAGTCCGATTTTTACACACAAAACACATGAAGAGTTTATAAAATGTGATGTTTTGTTATAAAGTGCAGCTGGAACAATTAGTCACTTGACAGAAATTTAATTGGCAACTATTTTGTCAATTTTCATGTAAAAACATTTCATGGTTCCAGCTTCACAAATTAATTAATGTGAAATATTATTGTGAGGGTTAAATTTATGTAGTATGAAGTAAAGAGTACAATATCTCCCTCTGAGATGTGGTGGAGTAGAAGTAGAATGTGGCATGACAATATTTAAGTAGTACAAGTACCTCTTATTTGTACTTAAGTACTTGAGTAATGTACTTAGTTACTGTCCACCACTAAATGAGTGGTGGATCAGTGTGGAAAGTGTAAATCAACTCTGCTCAGGGATTATTATCTTTCTGTCTGTGTTATTCTCTTGAACTAATTTACCTTCAGGGTATTTAAATACAGAATCAGCATACTGCAGTGGCTCATCAGGTAATTTCTCTTGTCCAGAAGTGAAATGAAACGTTCTGGTTTATCGTTACAAGGCCACAGAGAAATAACACACCTGATTCTGCCGCCGCCTGATAAAGCCGTAGGTGTGCTGTGTCTCCCTGATACCAGGCCTGCACACCTGCATCTCGTTATGAGGGGGAGATTGTGCCTGGTGGGGATGAGCGTATATCATATATATGTATGTATGTGTGGAGATGAGGCGATGAGCTTTAGTGGAGGAGAAGCCTTTTTACATTTCTACAGATCACAGTCTCACCTGCTGTGTGATGGAGGTTATATACATGGAGTTATTCTGCCCTCTGCTGCACACTGTTTGTAATACCGTGTCTGCTGTTTATTAAGCAGGGCTGCTGTAATAGGGAAACATTTAAATATCTCTTTTAAAACTGACTACATTGTTTTATTTTTAAACGATGAGCCTTGACCAAACTGTTGAGATTTCCATTTAAGTAAAAGTCTTTGATTTTTCACTACAAACAAAGGATTTAAAAAAAAAAATCACACAATTAAAGTAATGGTCATATAAAAACAATAGATGGTCATATAATATCTGTGGAGACCTACATGAAACCTAAAGCAGCAGCAAGACACAGATGAGCAGGTTTCTTCTTCAGACTCATTCTTTCCTGTCCTCAACAGACTGTACTACCAACAGTAAGATTCATCACACATAATATGCCCATACTGCACAAAATAAATATATACTACACAGGAGTGGCTCTTCAAGCACAGGGTACAACACTTTTCCCAAGGTGTGCTTTTTTGTAGAGTAGCTGAAGCAGGAGATGAGACGGTGGCCGGGGTTTTGAATTATGGTATTTGCTCCGAGTGGTGGCGGTGTCAGTGAGGCCTGGCAAGTTTGGGAGTGGGAAGACTGATTGTTTTAGAGGAAGTGTTGGTGGTTTTAAGGAGCTTGTTTTTACTGGTGAGAGAGAGAGAGAGCACAGTGAAGTAGCAGGTAGCACAACAGTACAGGAGGACGGCTTCAGTGATGCAGGAGAAGCAGGAGCTGTGGTTTGACTGAGAGAGTGCTGAGTTTACGTATGACCGAGTGTTTGTTGGCAGCGTCTGTGGATGTCTGGGGTGTCTACAAACCATCACCGACACGAATTCAAACACACAACACTCTTGTTTTCTGCTCGTTTTGATCTGTACTCAGGCTTTAGGGAGAGACGTGGCTCTGCTTCCAGTGATCAGAGTCAAGTGTCCAATGTCCAATATACTACTGACCTGTGGCACACACACACACACACACACACACACACACACACACACACACACACACACACTACAGTTTTAATTTATTTTTTTATTTAAACACAAAAATAATTATACAAAAAATATTTTATTTATTTGAGGAACTGTGTGGATTGAATTGTTCTTTTGTATTATCCTTGAAGCTCTGGCAGTATTGTTCTTTTCACATTCATGCCAACAGAGCACATGGAAATTGAAGTGACCGCGGGTGGTGATGGAACAGTGGATAAGACACATGCCTTAGGTGTTAGAGACCCGGGTTTGAACCCACTGTGATACACTAAGATGTCACTGAGCAAGACATTTAACCAGTAGTTGCTCCAAAGGTGCGCGACCTCTGACAAATAGCATTTTTCTTTTTGTATAATGAATAATACAAAAATATAATATTATAATATATTATAATAATAAATATATAATATTATAATATAATATAATATATATTATAATATAATATAATATAATATATATAATATATTATAATATAATATAATATATAATATAATATAATATAATATATATTATTTATATATATTATATTATATATAATATATATATATAATATAATATAATATAATATAATATAATATATATTTAATATAATATAATATAATATATATTATAATAATATATAATAATGATGCGGTGCCTGAATTGAGACACAGCTGACTGACTGCTGCTGACTCTCTAAAAGCGCCGCTGGCCCTTTAAGACTCTCGCCGTCGCCTTGGTTACACTCCGGAAGTAGCAGGGCAGCCTTAGCACATAAACATTGTTAGCATGTCAACATCTGCGACTTGAAGCATTTCAGTTTCACTTTTCCTTTTGCTGCTGTTTTACAAACCGAGTCTCGTCTCTGCCAGGAAAGGTAAGAGCTGGACCAGCACTGCGTCACTTCGTGGGTTTATTAAAGCCTTTATTTCAGCAGGAATGCCGACTCATCTGTTTACTGCACCGTTAGCTTCCCCGCTAACGTTATTACGGTAACCTCGTCTGATGAGGAGTGTGTTAGTTTGCCTCACACAGCTGATTGACTGATTTATTTCACACTGTAAGGCCTCAGAGTGGCAGTTCAGTGAAACCTCTCGTGTCTCTGCTGCCTCCTGAAATGTCGCTGTCCATGGTGCTAAAGAGAGAAGCCGCGGCCGGTGTTACGCCGAGTTTTGCCTGCCTGCTAGAATTGCATGCACCTCCAGATCCTGCTGCTAAACGCTAGAATATGTGGGATTTATCAATGGTGATAAATGATTCTAACGTTTAATACACTTATTAGAAGTGCCATTCCTTGACATTCAGTAAATATAGTCTCTGTGGTGATAACGCCGTTTGATCAGTGAGCACAGCAAAGTGTCTGAAAAGGACCTGAAGAGGTGGATGCATAATTCGGCAGATCAAATTTTGTAGGCTACCTGCCGAGATTTGCATCTACTTCTTTTCTCAGCATAAATGAGCGTTATCACCCGCGAGGTGCATGCAATTCTCGACAGGCAGGCAGAATTCGGCACAACACCTGTATTTATCAAGCTTCTCAAAGTGCCATTTTTGTCTTAAGTGCTGAGAATTCATGAAATTTACTCCTACTTTTACACTTTAGAATAAAAGTAGGTTATAAAATTTCTCAAACTAAGAATCACTCTTATTCTCCCAGATATTTAAATCAGCTCCAGAGGTCTCTCAGGTGGTCAGGAGCTGCCTGCAGGGGCTTGTGATGGCGCTGAGGAGACGGAGACAGAAGAGGAAGAATGTTTCTGAATTATTAGACGGGGTCGGACAGTCAGCGAGATGGTGAGGGACGTCATCTCACCTCTGACTCACCACAGGACAAACGCAGCAATGCTGATGATTGTGGCCGCCACAACCGTCAATAAGCCGAATAGAAATGGAAACAGTCATAGCACTTAGGCTACAGCTCCACACACTGTCACGCGTTTCATCGACTTCCCAACAACACCCCCCGTAATCCGACCGAAGCAAACAGTTCATGCAAAAAGCTTTGAGCCAAGAGTTTTTTTACTCTTAAGTCTTAGCTGTGTTCTTATGAGTAATTCTGAGAAGCTTGATAAATACAGGCCCAGGTCAGCTAGCATGTAAGATTTATTAAAGACCAGCATTCCTAAAGAATAAAGGTTTCACAAATCTGAACCTACCTTTTAAAGAAACATCTCTGGGACAATCTAGTCCAGATCTGACAGGTCCAGGCATAGTGGTTTTTGAGCTTTCTCCTTAACTGCTGAATCAAAAGCTAATTTGTGTGGTTTTCATTTCAAACTACACAACTATCTCACCTCTAATCTGCTGCAGAGTGTAGATCCTAACTGAAAGCATAAGGACACTATCAACAGTTTAAGTTGTTTTAAGACATTAAGACAAAACGCTATTTGACAAAAGTTCCAATTATCTTCTGAAAAAAATCTTTATCTATCTATAAAGATTTTTCAGCAACATGCACTGACAAATTGTTTAGTACAAAAACTTTCTGGACACTCAAGCTGTGTGCTACTTAACCTCACACTGATTTATCGATTAATCGAGTAGTTGCAACTGTTGAATTGGTATTTTCTGGTTTCTTTGTTCCTCAATGACAGTAAACTGAATATCTTTGTGGACAAAACAAGACATTTCAGGACATCATATTGAGGGTTGGGAAACCTTGATCGATATTTTTCAGCTGACGTTTTTTAGACCAAACGACTAATTGTTTAATAAAAAAGATAATCGACAGATTAATGTACAATGAAAAGAATCGTTGCAGCCCTAGAATTCATGTTACTCTCAACAGACACCTATGATTAATTAAGATACTAAATGCAACCCCCTTTGCGCCCAGGTGATGCACCGTTTAACTATTGTTGGACACGCTCTAAAGGCATCATGCACTTCAGACGGTGCGCTATGGATCGTTTAAATACGACCCTAAGACCTTGATAGGTCGCAGGAGTTGTGATTCAGAAACAGGCTTCAGGAGTACAGCCTGTTGCAGCCGACCACTCGAACATACCTTTTCTCAGTTAAGCGTGTCATTTGTTTTCAGAAGATGAGCGGCGGCACCGACACCATCAAGCCTGTGACCTGCACCATCAAACCTCCGGTCTACCTGCAGATCGGAGACGTCAAAACAGACGCAGCGCACTCCGGTGTTTGTGTTGTGGACGTCACCCTCCCGTATGGACAGCCTGTCAATGTAAGCTACCGTTTACCCACAGCGAGCTGCTGATTTAATGCACAGAACCAGTGACATCCATGCCAGCCACCGTATATTCAGTTTTATCAAAAACTGCTTTTCATGCTTTATCTTCTCTTCAGCCTGCGGCATGAAAAACAGACCAGAGTTAACCTCAACTACTGACACATGCTCTTCACTACACTGCTAAGTGGCTCATTCCACCATCATTCAAAAGGACACATTATTATGATATTAGATTGTACTTCAAATATGGATTTAAACTGGGGCAGGTCTTCAATTCTCATTATAAAAATGTCCAGGCGGAAACAGGCGCACGTAACCTGTCTGCTGATGAGGTTTCATTTTCGGGTTACACAGTTTTTCTTCTGCTTTATTGAAAACTAAGCCCTGGTTTCCATGAGCATGGCTGTGAGGCGCTGAAGGAGTGTTTTTGTATTTCTTATACGAAAGTACAGACTGAGGAAAATACCAGCTCGTGATGAAGAATTTGGCCACTGACCACTTATTGAAATCTTTTGATCTGTTTCTTATGAACCGAGGCCGTGCTTGCATTAAAACAGAGGACTTATATAATTTGTGGGTATACGGGTTTCCATTATCTAAAAATATACTGGACCACACGTCCTGTTAGGGTCGATTGCTGAGCTAAAGTAAATATATTGCACTAGGTTTAAAAGATCGCTTATAGATCTTTTTGCTTGCCACTATCTGTATCGTCGTCCTGAAGGGAGCAGCTCAAACTCAGTATGGAGGGGCTGTTTATGTAGAGCTGTCCTGTAAAGATCACCCAGTGACTCTTGTCCTATTATCTTTCCTGCTGTATTTAACTATCCCACATTCAGCGCTATTGGCTACTGTAAATGCCAATCAACATCTGCAACAAGTCCCTCCCTGTCTGTGTTTATATGCAGAAGCAAATAGCACATTAATGGGGAAAAAAAATGTATATTAAAATCTCTATAATGTTATAAGAACAAAATGAATCACTTCTTTGTTGTTTGAATGAATCATTAGGCTACAAGCATACTATTAATAAAGTAGGCTTATTTTTCTCTTTTAAACCAATAACTTGCAAAATTGTCCTACAAACCAACATGAAAACTAGAACTGCAAGCAGTTGTAAGCGGGGTCCAAGCCTCCCGGCGCAAGACAACCCCCCCCACCCCCCCGGCCCAGCGGAGGGCACGCTAGTCGGCGAGGTCCCCACGTTTGGTGTTGATGGGCCATTCCAAACAGAGGCAAAACGTCCTGCCTTTGAAAATGCCATGGGAATGAATGGGATTTAGTGAGAGATTTGAGCTTTGATTATAGCGCCACCTTTTGGCCGAAGTGCACCCCATGGGGAACACTTGACCCAAATTTGGTGTGAATCGGACTTGTGGTTATGGAGATATAAAATGCATGTAAATCAATGGGATTTTTTTTGACGTCTTTAATCTGCAACAACAGCGCCACCTATAGGTATATTTGGGTCAACTTTGGTGCCTGTAGTAAGGCGACCATGCTGAACAATACGGCACTGGTTTCATGTGAGTGTGACTTGTAGTTATAGAGGACCAATTTTCTGTGATTAAATAGCGCCACCTAGGGGCGAGTTGCACCAAATTTTGCACAGGCCCTCAGGGCGGCGTCCCACATTAACGCTCCAAATTTAGTGTCGATCGGCCATTCCTAAGCTAAGATATAACATCGTTTCCTGTTAGTGGCGTTTTTCGCAAACGTTTGCTAGCATATAATTGCGAGATTTTTTGTCGGATCCAAATTTCCTCTACAAACTTTCTTCAGCTTGGTCCAGAGATTATCCATGCCAAGTTTGGTGTCGATCGGACATGCGGCTTCGGAGGAGTTATTTAAAATAGGTTTTTCAGTTTTTCCGATTTTGAGGAAAAGAAAGTCCAGTCGGAAATGGGCGTGGCCTATACCACGAGATTCAGCTCGATCCCCCGAATGTGTGGATATAAGGTTTTTGATATACGCCTTCGTAGGCGGGAGTGTTGTACGCGTTGACCTTGCTTATAGCGCCCCCTAGTGGTAGAAGTGTGCGGATTTTTGCGCCTGAGTTACTTGCAGGGGCTTGTACCGACCCTATGAGTTTCGCGTGCCTAGCAGTTACCTTCTAGGCTGCAGTAGTGGAATTAGCGGCGGAAGAATAAAAATAAATAGATACGAGAACGATTACGATAGGGTTCCCAGCCCCACTCGGGCTTGGACCCCTAATAATAAAAATCTGAGCAGAAACAATAGGGTTCCCAGCCGCTTCGCTAGACTGGGAATCGCGATGCCTTGCATTCGTGGGTTCCCAGCCCCACTCGGGCTTGGACCCCTAATAAATCGTGATCCTGCCTGACCGCTGGTACAAAGCATTGCATGTGGTCAGCCTAGTGTCTTGTTTGAACCAATAGACTCTTCACACATTTGTAGAGGGGTGAACAATAACCTTATTTGGACACAGTGAATCTCTGTAGGTTTAGGAAAGATATCTCCAGACAGGAAGTACCCTTCAGATTTGGTGTTCACACGTTGGATCCTGGAACTGGATCTCCTCGGCCGGGCTCAATAAACAAATACTGTATAAGTCTTCGAAACGTCTTCATCACACCTGAACCTGGCTCGCTTTATTTCCGTAACATCTACGACTGGCAGACGTCATGTCAAAAAACAAGATGCTGAAGTTCTTACTGGTGACTGTTCTTACTTTTACTCATTTGGCAGAGGCTTTTATCCAAAGCGACTTACATTTGAGGAACAACATACAAGCATCAGTAAAGTAAGATCTACAAGTGACGATAAATCCCAGGAAGAGTTAACGAAATAGTGCAACCAATCCAAGAGAATTGTAAGCAGACAGAAGAAGAAGAAGAAGAGCACAGCGTGTCAGAGGTTAGAGGTGTTATCATAGGAAGTGTTTTCAGCAGCTTCTTAAAGTCAGAGAGGGACGCCGCTGCTCTGATGGCGTGCGGCGGGTCACAGATGAGAACAGGGACTGCGGTCGCTTTGTGTGAAGGGACGGCAGAGCCAGGCGGCGTTTGTTCGGCGAGGAGGAACGTAAGCTTGTATTATGGAGCTTAGGTAGATGCTGCAGACCCAGGAGTCGCTCTGGATGCAGCATCAGGGACTTGGATTTGATTCTGGAGGCCCCGGGGAGCCAGTGGAGGTCACTGAGTAACAGAGGGACATGAGTCCTTTTGGGCTGATACTTTATTTATACTTTGTAATACTTTTAGACCCGAGAACCTGTAACTCCTGTATTAGTAGAAGTAAATGTACTATTGTAAGAGAGTGAACATCACTAAAGGAATATGGGTAGTCTCTTCACAGTTTGATTTTCAGTAAATTCTCAAAGCAACATTTTTCCCCTCAAACTTTATTTTACCCAGCGTCCATGTTCCTGGTGTCTCCCAGTGGCAGAAAACACACACACACACACATACACACACACATACACACACACACTACATACAAAACAGTTGTTTAAATATTAAGCTTTATTTCTGTCTTGAGAGAGACTTCAAACATTTTGGGCGCTGACCTACTTTTTAAGCATTTAGTCCTAATTAAAACTCATTTTTAATGCAGAGCGACTCCTCGTTAGCTCAGAGCTCAGAGCTTCAAAGGCGTCTGCCTGGAGCGGGTTTATGCATGAAGGAATTATCTCCACCACCGAGCGTTTTGATGGTACTGTCTTTAGGTTTAAATGTTAATACTGTGATTTGGCAGACTCAGTGTTTCTTAAAGAATAGGTGGAGACCCTTCATGGATTAGAGGCATTTTTTCTGGGCACCAATATGGTTTAATGAGTCTGATTTATTGTGCTATAATATATTTTCAAGTTTAATTTCACCCACCAGGGCACCAGAGAACGTATTTATACTGGCAGCCCTGTAATATAATCTAATTATAAATTGGGTCTGAAGCTAAAAAGCTCAAGGAAATCATAATAAATGTATATTCAGTCTGAATGACTTTGTCCGCCCACTTAAATCAGATCCTAATATCATTCTGCACCGCGGTTTTTAAAATCTGCGTCGCTGTCTGTCTTTCAGATTGAGGAAATCACCTTCAAGAACTACTACACAGCCTTTGTGACTGTGCGTTTGTTGCGGAGGGGCCCCAGGCAGGAGGCCCCCGCTAAGTGGTGCACCGCTCTGAGAGACCTGCCTCTGATGGACAACCCCCACACCGAGGGGGGCTCCCAAGACTACTGCTCCATCCACAGGACACAGGTGGGCACAGGTCGGACACCTACAAGCCTGGAGGCTTCTGATCTGTAGCAGCTGTGTGCCGTTATTTCACCAGGGCAGCGCTTCACGTTAGAGTCGTTTGGCTGAAAGAAGTGCGATTGTACAGAAGTCTAGAGAAAACTTTCCTGATGAGTTTCTGGTCTCAGTCGCTAGTTTCAAGTCTTCTTCAACACAGCATGATGTTCATTTAGTAAATTATGGTCCCATTTAGAGGAACAGAGACCAGGAAGCAGGGGAGGCTTTAGGGCGGGGCTACAAGTCACTACCATGGCGACCAGAGGCGACTCGTATCCGCTGCTCTGTGTACATTTAACCAGCGCCGCTGAAAAAGCCTATTAGCAGTCGGCTGTTTGTGTTTCAGTAAAGAACATTTTGCTTTAAGCCTGTTTGTCGTTAGCCAAAATTACTTACTACTTCATTCCTGTCACACAGTCTGTGCGTGAAACAGTTACCATCAGACAATCAAACCAACTCTTAGACAAGCAACAATCAAAACTTCTGTTGCCTTCACTTCATCTGCTAAAGGGAAACGTTTCTGTGCTCACCTTAAATTTGGAAGCGAATTGTGGCTCAGTGTGAAGCTTACGTACAGCACACACACACTGGGGATGGATTTATCAGAATGTATTGTGTCCAGCGGTTAAACTATCACATCAGCAGTATTTGCATATTCATAGATTTCTCCGTATCTGACAAATTATTATTCAAAGCAGAGTTTTTTTAACACGTCTGGAGGGAATCGTTAAATAATGAAAGACTGACATCCAGAACTTCAAGAAAATGCAAATTCATTTCAGCTTAGTGGTGAATGGCGGCGCAGTGGTTAGCACTCTCGCCTCATAGCAAGAAGGTCGCGGGTTCAAACCCCGGTTGCCCCTGCCTTTCAGTGTGGAGTGTGCATGCATGCATGCAGATTTTACACAGAATTATTGTTCGAGAGCAGTTAATTGCTCGTTTGTAAATAAAGTAGTTAATAAATTCTCTTTTACCGCGTGATTTATTTTGTTCTACGTTTTAGTTGTTCTCGATCCCATAAAGCACTTACTTATAAGTGATTATTTATAGTTTACAATAAATCTCAAGAAAGAAATGAGTCACTCAGACAGGTTTCAGTGCAAATGTTTATTTTAGGTAAATTGTAGTTAATTTCTTGAAGTGTCTTGGAGACGGGGGTCGTGTGTTGAGTGTAGGTGCTTGGGTTGTTCTCAGGTTTGCTGCTGCAGCTCAATATGACGTCTTACTTTTTGCAGCTTTAACTCCACATCTGAAATAAGGTCACTGATGCTGCGTTCCAGGCAAGTCAGAACTGGGAAATTTCCAACCTCCAATTAGAAAAAGTACTATGGATGCCACCTGAGGTCGGATTTCCTACTCGTGAACTCGGAGAAAAAATCTGTACCCTGTTTTCACGAGTAGCAGCCGAATGACGTCACACAACAATGGCAACACCCACTGAAGCAGAATTTGTAAATGGTAAACAATGACCTAAAAGGCAAAGTGTTAAATTAAAATAATACATACTAGTATCAAATAATAAAACTTGTTCTGCGTGTAAATAGATGTAGAAATATTTAAAAAATTTTATGATGTAGGTGGTTACAGTAAACAACAGGAAAATGTTTAAAATGCCCAGAAATGCTGCTGGAGGAACGACAACCTTTAGATTTGATGGTCGTTCTGTTGCTCCTAGGTGATTTTACAGTGATGGCACAGCATGTTTTGGGCGTCGCCCCCTGAAACCCTGTTAATGTGACCTCAGAATCATTACATGTTTGCCTTTTGTGTCTTCATTTTACAGCTTCTGACATTTATCTGTAGACATTAATATAAAAAAATAGGCAGCATGAGAAACCTCCTCCAAATTACAGCTTCCAGTTACGTTCTATAAATTGAGCTGATGTTCAGATACATAGCAGCTGTGTAGCTGCTGTAGACGCTGCTCAGCTGGTAGTCTGAAGGGGAGGGGGGGGTGAAAACATTTGTAGCGCATAGTTTAATGATTATGGGAAATTTTAGTAGTGGTGGTCGTGATTCAGCAGCGGCGGTCACGAAAGCATATAGAGGAAACACTGAGCCATGTTTGTTGTTTACATTTGGCGTCAAGCGGCACCGTGCACCTGAAACGCTTTGAGGTCGGATATTTCAACTCGCTGCGCCTGTACTCGGAATCTGGAGTTACAATGCGTAACTATCGTTCTATTTCGTGTAGCTTCGCCCTCTGAGGCCATCGCTGTTGGGATACAGTCAACGCCTCACTGGCCCATACGGTACCACCAAGCCCAGACCCACCTGCGAGTGGGATTCTAAGAACAATGCTGAGAACAGCAGTTTAAGAACACGTCATGAATCGGACGTAGACTTGAGGAACTTTCTTGAGAACAAACTTAGAAAGATATTGGTGAATGAGGCCCAATCTTCTCACTCGGACTGCACCTTCAGCGGGCGTTGATATACTGGTGACCGTGTGTCCCTCGGCAGTGCTCAGATGGTGTTTATTCCTCTGAAGTGTGTGAAAATGATGCCACCTGCAAACCAATCTGTGTTCAGCAATGCCAAAAACAAAACGATGCTGGCTACCCGTGAATGTTCCTGTGAAGGTAAACCTTCCTCTTTAATCCTAGTGAACATTAAATGACACGTCTGCTGCAGCTAAACTTCACTACAGATCTGTAAACCACCAGATCCCACTGGGGCTAAAACTAACACAGCTCGCCAGCCTTATTCTACCGCTCAGCTGACGTTGGACTCCAGCCAGCCGACTCTGCGAGGAAGCCTCAGTAAGCTTTGTTATGTTGATATGTGAGGACAATACAAACAGAGTTATTTTTATTTCTTCTTTTTACTCCTGGTTTATTCTCGATGCAAACAGACACAGATGGTGAACTGTGTTTACTTCAGATGGTGAGCTGAGCCCGACGCAGTTTAAGGGCTCATCCTGGACGTGTAAATAATGTTTATTCACTGTTTATGGGTTATTGTTTGGAATATTTAGCCTTAAGGGAGAATATATGGTTTTGGATTTCTCCCATATTTTCCCCTGTTGATGGTCAGAATAGAACAGCAAAGCAGTAAAGATGGTTACTGCCGCGTCTCGCAACTCCACCGCCGCTCCTACCATAAAGTACAGGCTGCTGCTGCAGCTGCACTTTAATCGCACGCCTTTGTAGCAACTAGGAGTTAAGAGTCTTGCTGTGGTGGATGCGTCACGGTGGGAACTGAACCCGAGTCTCCCTCTATTTTACAGTCAAGTTTCAGATGCAGCGTTTTGTTTTTCTGCGAGCACGTGTCACCTGGCGTTACTTGTGGTGTTCTGTGTGGTTTGTCCAGATGCAGGTGGAGCCGGATCACGTGACGTCTGTGAGACTGATCCTGAGACAGCCGTCCTCCGCCTGGCTCACCTTCAGCCTGGAGGAGATCAAAATATACCCTCACGTGGAGCCGGTTAGTTTTTATTTTAAATTAATTATAGACAGAGAAAAAAGTTTACACCTGCATTTACCATCACAATCTGAAATGGGGAACTTTAAATAACACTCGGTGCACACGAGAGGATTTTAAAATTTAAAGAACTTAGGAGGCCACAGACATAACAACAGATTTAACTGATCTATTTTAATCTGAAAAACAGTCAGATCAGTCCAGACGCAGGACCACACACTCGTTTATACTAAAAGGTATCAGAGTGGCGGTTGTGGGGAAACAAACATGGAGGCAGACTGTCTGCTGTTTGCTGCTGAGCAGCTCGTTCACGACGGCTCTTTATAGCTTTTTTGCTGAAAACACCTGCATGCTGTGGTTTAAACGACACATTAGTCAAGTTAATTTTATTTATAAAATACATTTAAAGACAACCAGAGTTGATCAAAGTTATACAATAAATAATAAAATAATCACTTTATAATACACAACAAAAATATAGAAAAACGAGACAGTTCCGTTTATTAGGCCGCACCACACCCGTAAAACCAAAACCACGAGCTATAAGGCTGAAGAGAACTGCGGAGTCAGGTGATCTGAGTGACCCGTAGTCACGAGATCTGTTGTTAAAGTTTTTCACAATTGCTAAGAAACATTTCTTGAAACCTTCACCCATATTCTCAAAACTTTAAACACAACACCCGGTCTTTAACCTACATTCACAAAACCCCCGACTCTTCGGGCAAAAATCAAACACTTTGCCTCAAAACCATGTGATCCGAGCTCAAAATCAAACAATGCTTTCAAAACATAAACACAGCCAGTCCGTAGGTAACGCACTGCAGAGCGTTCTTTAGACACTACATCCACAAAGAGAACACAGCGCTCAATTTAAAAAGTGTAGAAATCACAACTTAGTACAGAAAATATATAGTATACTGTGTACTGCAAGTAATACAGTATTGAATATCTGTATATTCAAATACAGTAAGAACAAAGAAAACTGTAAATGAAAAGCACATTACACTCAAATGTTGCGCAACTGCAAAATCAAAGTCAATACTTCGTCCACATCACATGCAACTTTGTCCCTCGCCAAGCAAAGGAGGAAAAACTCGGAAGTGACTGCAACTCTCCAGGCAGAGAAAACTTCTTCTGTTGGATTGAAGTAAGGGCTGCAGGTTGAAGGTAAACATTTATGAATCACTGATTGCTGGTTTACGTTGAACCACTTGCTTAGCGGGACACCACAGAAAGCTGACATCGTCCCGTAGACAGGATGTACTGGCGGCTGATGATCCTGCTGCTCACGCTCAAACACGAAACCCCAACGACCAAGAAAAGTAAGAAGATGTTCAGTGTTTTATGGCCCCAAGGCTGAGTGAAGGTAGAAAGCTTGGTCAGAGACTGTGACATTGCCACCACGCTGGCCAGGGACATTTTGGTTTGATCACATCATAAGAAACAAGTGTGCAGAATGATGAGTTCTTGTAAAAGTGTAAAAGAAGACAGCTGTGTTGTGGTTGTGTTTAACTTTTGCCGCATGTATTTACCATTTTGCAACACAAGAGCATCACAGTGCAGAATGTTTTAGTGAGTGAGAATGTGTTTAGGCAAAACCTAAAACAAGTTCAGGTCATTAAGACACTGTTTGCAAATCTCTAAAGAGTGACTGATTCCACAAATGTGTTTAGGCCACTGAGCTTCGTGTTCAGAGAATGGGCTTTAGTGTTTCAGCTCTTTCTGTCTGCGTCTGGGGGGCTGGATCTGTGGGAGGGGGGGTCAGAGGGACTCCGAGCAGCGTGCGCTTGCGTCGACTGCGTTGTGATTCTTAATGCTACCAGCGGATGGTGCCAAAGGCAGAGCTTTTCAAATCCTACTCAAACACACATTTAAGATCAAGCTAATTAAATAATTCCAGCACGGAGACTGCAACGTTAGACTGCATTGACTTTACACGGCTGTTCCTCCTTCCAGGACCCAGAGAAGGAGGTTTCTGATTGGCTGTCTGACCTGACCCTGGCCGAACAACACCCTGACCTGGAGGTAAACATTTGGTTTGTTTCTATCTGTGTAAAGCTGCCATCCAGGACTCGGAGGTCACATCCTCAGTGTCTGTTTTGGGGTTTACATACTCTGTACTACATAATTTATGTCTCTCTAGATTTGGGGAACATTTCTTCTTCTTCTTCTTCTTCCTCATATTTTGATAACATTTTCTAATGAAATAAATAGTGTTTCTTTATTCATTCTCCTGCTTTTTAGTCTAAAACTCCACTGGCAGTGTCTGAAAAACAGGGCCGTTCTTCTCAGGTCTTGAAAGGTTGTGGAGGTACATGGTTTTAACAGTGATCTTCACGTGTTCACGGACGATATAACTGAAGAGTTTACTGTAAACAGTTGTTGGGGCGGGAGGAGCTTTTGTAAATCCTGCCTGCAGCCCTGTGAGTAAACACCCCGGCCTCCCCTGCTCCACGTCTCCTAGGGCCTCCCGGACCCCCAGACCGTATCATCCAGCATCCAGCAGATGTGGGCTCTGACTGAGGTGATGCAGACCAACCAGACTACAGCCTCCATCGGACGATTTGACGTGAGTGTGTGTAACACTCTTAATAGGTTGAGGCGATCCAAGCCACCTAGCCTCTTGGATTTTTATTTTTTTTTACTTGAAGGCAATGGAGGGAGAAGTATGTGTAAACATTAAATCCTTCTAATGAATTCCCCCATGGTACAAATCTTATGTGGGGAAGAAAACATCCTCTAAAGAAATGACTGATGTTCTCAGTCAGTATTCTGATTTAAAACCGCTTTGATAGCTTTGTCAATTTAATCGCTGTTTTTATGCCGTACATTTTGGGATCTTGGCCTTTTTTTTAGATTTTCAGCTTCAGTCCCACCTACAAAGTGACACCAGAACTAAATGTGAGATGTGACCGACGATTCAGATCCAGAACACGTCGTCCGTAGCCGTGTGTCAGTTCGGATACGCTAAGGGCCTGAGGCCTGATTTCCTGAAGGTCTGCGGGAGTAAAAACGTGTGCAAACGTGATTTCACCAGCAGATTAACCTGTAAACTGATCCACTAACGGCGTGCACTCAGAAAGACGTCTTCCAAAAGCACAAGCTAGCACCTGTTGTTCATTTACTACTTCGGCCTTAATGAATATGCAATTTGGGGCGTTTCAGTTTTATTGTGTAAAATAATGGGAGGGTAACATGCAAATCTATTTATTTACTACACGCAGTGTGATCTAACAAACCTAAACGCAGTTTCAAGTGAGAGCAGCAGCATCTGTATTTGATACGTTTGAAAGGAAGTTGCAAACCAAGTGCTGCAGAGATGCTGCTGTTATCGCTGGAGAAGGAGAGACAGCCGTGATGAAAGAAGACGTAGAGAAATGAACAATATTAGATAATATTCTATATCCAATGTATTGAAATACAATGATTTTATTTAAATTTTTCGATGAACTATATGAATTGAACTGTTTTTTTTTTGTATTTTCCTTGAAGCTTTGGCGATACCGTTGTGTTAACGTTGTATTTAATGTAGTGATGGGCATCTACACTGCCGGAATTACACAAAGAGAAGAAGAACAGCGTGATGACGAAACGCGCTCTGTAGCGCTGTTTGTACGTTGTCGGCTACGGTAGAAACATGACGACAAAATACTGCGATGTCCATGGAAGAGGGTGCCCGCGGTTATGTAGATAGAAATGTCTCATTCTAAGGTAATAAAAACACAACTGTTGATTATGCACAGCACTGAAGACATAGTTATAGATATTATATTGCATTTCTGCCACACTGAGCCTTTAATGTGATGAAATGTACGAACACTGAGTGGCACTGAACGTTTCCCAACCGTCCGACCTGTGCTCTCCTTTCTTTTGGTCGATGGTCTCCTCGCCAGTTTAAAGCTGAGCAGAGTTACGGTGACCGTTCCAGTTGTGAGTTAGGTGTTAAATTGCTGTTTGGAACAGCTGCAACACAGCGAGCTGCCAGTCAAGCGCGGTCTGTCCCGCCCACATGGTCCTGAAGAAAGTAACTGGTTCAGGGCCTTTTTAAATGAAACCGTGCTCGTGTGTTTTCTGTCGCCGCAGGTGGACGGACGCTACGACATCAACCTGCTCTCCCTGACGTAACACGGCCACGAGGAGCTCACTATGAAGACCGCAGTTCGGTCTGTGAGGGAGCGATGACCCGTACGAATGTATGTTGCCTTGCAGAGAAGAACAAGTATTATGTGTGTGTTGCCTTTTTGAACTTTAATGAGAGAACTATTTATTTCTTGGTCATGACACTTCTCAGATAAGCTTGCACTCGGGCACGAGCTGGACGTAATGAGTTTGTTTTTCCTTTCAGGGCATGTCAATAAAAGTAAAGCATTAACTGCACGTGTGTTTTTACTCATGTGGTTATTTATTGAGCTACAAACCCTGCATACAGTGTGGTAACACTGTGAGCAGTCTTATTGTCGAGCATCAATATTTAGCGTCCTACTGTGACCCGCTGAAACCATTTATCTCAGTAATTGCTTGACTTGTGTTGGGGTCCGGGCCGCAGGAGGTTTGAAAGAGTCCCATCGATCTGTGGAAACATGGAGGCGGCAAGAGAGGGAGAATGTGAAGCTGTCCGCTGTGCAACACTTGGTGGCAGCAGTGGATTAATAAAGAGCTTCTCAGCATCTTTGTGGGAACCAGTTTAGGTTAAAGACCTTTTAGAGGACATTTTTAGAAAGTGAAAACATTCTTTACTTCCTCGAATGGCTGTTGGAGGTTAAACTAGAGATTTTTGGGTTGAGGAGCTGAAACCCGTTCCGTCAGAGAGGGTCCTCGCAAGCTCTGAAGCACAGATCTGTGTTTGTATGTGTGAGTTTGACAGAACCAGGTAGAAGTGTACTTTTTTGAAAACATTACTTGCAGATCTTGTTGCCACACGTCTTCGCTGCATGACTGAGCAGTCGTCATCAAACAGTATTAACTTGGGGATTCTCTGCAGGAGCCGGTACATGGACTCTGTTTAGCAGCTGCCGCCTGGGGAACAAAATGCTCGGAGGTGCTTCTTTAAATATGTCAGCCGGTGTTCTTATTTCACTTCAAGTGCAGAACAGGATCGTACATTCTCCAGAGGTTCCTTCAGCTGAAGGAAAGAGGACGTTGTTTAACTTTGCAGAGAACAGCTGCGCCTTTGCTCATATTGTAAACAGTCAGAATTGTGAATTGGTGGTTTTATTTCAGATACTGACAAGCACATTTGATAGGCCCCCACATACTGTACAGTACTTTCATTTTGTAGTATTTGCACATCCAGCTCACTAGGTTTAACTTGGCTGCTGCCGCACAGCATCACACATGCTTGTATGTAAAGGAAAAGTTCTCCCACTTATTACCTGCTGTAACGTTACAATTTCCTGCTGGGATCCATCCATCTGTCCGTTCAGAGGGTCCTCGTGCACACTGTAGATTCTGTCCTTCTGTTTTTTAATGCGCATTATGAAGCATCGCGTTCGAAAAGGGTGATGGAAACGGCAAAATTCTTGAGGTGGTTTTTGTAGAAAAAGAGTAAAGGAAACATGACTAGTGACGTTTAAGAGTGAATCTTTAAGAAGTTTAAAATTTGTTGTTGCCACATTGAATCAGTCTGACCGTTAGTCCCTGACTGCACTCTGCTTGGACTCGTTACTACATCCTTGTCGTCCATTTCTACAAAATGTGGAGGGTTTGTTTTTTGGTCATTTCATCTACATGCATGAACTGCTTATCTGTTGGAAGAAGTGGGCTAAGATTTACTTTAGCAAAGGTAGTCACAGAATGAAAAGTACTAAAGTATTAGGAAGTAGATGTGCTTGTTGTGCTGCGTGAGCCCTGCCAGTGTGACATTCATAAACATGTAAACAGTACTTTAATGTTGGAGCTGGAACAGTACTTCACTCCAGTAGTTTCAGTCTGGTTTGTACCAAATATATAAAAGCTGAGTGAGCTAACATGGGCCAACAAAATAAAATCCTTTTGTTCAGATGATGTGAGGACGTGTGATGCAGGCTGAGCTGCCGCTGGTCCTGGGAGGCCCATTCGGTCCTGATGAGGAAAAGAGGTTAATGGCTGCAGATTTTCCTCACAGAAGGACTCGTGATGAATGAAGCTGAACTGGACTGCTTGTGTTTGCAGGAGGGAGGATGAATTTCACATTTAAAGCAGCATTATGTCGTATTTTTATCTTTCATTTTGATGCAACACTGACTTGTTATAGGGTGAATGGAGGCAGAGCGCCTGCTGTTGGCTATACGCAGTATTAAATTCCTGGGCAACGGCGTGTTCTTTTATGGCAACAACGCGACTCTTCAGCAAGCTAAAGCAGAAGCAAAGAGTATATAAAAAAAGGTACAATGTGAGTTCTTTGGAAGAACCCAGCTCGGTGTTCTCAGCGCAGATGTGATGGCAGAGGCTGAAGAGGCCGAGCAAGAGTAAATATGGGAGTGGCTTTCACTCGTTGGGTGTGCGCATGACAAATATGCATCTGACACAATGTGAAGGTTCTTGTGTTTTGACAACAGGAAACACATCATGAATGCGTGTGCAGCCAGCGTGGGAACAGTGGACCCTGCTACTGACAATAAAGGAGAGCGCCAAGTCATGACTGAAACCGAAAAATGCCAACCATAAATAAAACATGATGACAATCTAAAAGGACCGTCTGTAAGATAAGATCCTTATACACACACACACACACACACACACACACACACACACACAGTAAACATCCTGAAGGATCTCTCCTCCTCTTTGTCACTGTTTCTTCCATTTTAGTTTTTTCCTCCCTACCATCGCTGTTCTGTGTCGTCTGCTGTTTCTAAAGCCCTTTGAGACATTAAATGTGATATTGGGCAAACAAATCAGCTCTCCCTGACTTGACTTCAATATAGCTTCCAGCTGAGGAAGGATGAGACAGGTAAATGAGGGGGAAGGAAGTCAGAGAGAAGCAAATGGAGACAGAATTGAAGGAACAAATTGAGAACGGACAGAAAACTCACCTCCCCACAACAACACACATACAAATCAGCAACTACAACACTGTGTGTACCACAAATCTGCAGCGCCAGCTGCCTACTCAAGTGTACTTGACATTTAAATTCATACACCTGGCCCGGCTCTCCGTGCACCCTGCATACTGATGCATTCTGGAGCAGCCAAACATTTGTTAGAGAGCGAGAGCCGGAGTGAATGCAGGAGACGGGAGGGGAGGAGGGACACTGCCTTTGTGTGTGAAAGACAAAGAAAGACAATTAAAGAGGCGAACCGACAGAAAGACACAGCAGACGGAGGGATCTGTACCTGCGGCGGTGGCGGAGTGATGAATCTGTTTGTTTTTCCTTCTAATAGAGAACACAAATCTCCTTCAACCACGGCCGAGGCAGCTCTCAGCCCACAGAGCTCCATCTTCTCTTCTCCATCTCCCCCTCTCTTCTTACCTTCTCCAAATTAGCTGGCAGCTGCAGTTAGACTCACAAACAGAACTCTCTTCATCAGCCAGGTGGAATTCAGGTGTGTGACCGAACAGTACAAGTTGATCTGCAGAGCTGGGATCGCTCCATGTTGACCAGCGTATAGCCGCTCTTTAGTTTGGCTGTGCATCTTTTTACATTATCAAGGATGTGTTTATTTTCTGCAGCGTGTCCAGGTTTGTTTCCCAGCTGAGGGGCCAGTAAACATAGGAGTCGGTTCATGGAGCTAACCAGTAAAATCTGTTTCTTTCAGGCTTTACTGTTTTAGTTCTTGCCTTTCAGCCTGTGAGGTTTTACAACATTCAACAACTAAACGGTTGTTTGCAACTTTCTTGTAGCTCAGAACCCAGATGCAGACAAGAACACAGTTCAGGAAGGTTTTCGCACAGTTTATTGAACACAAGAACACGGGCTTGATCCTGGGGGAAAAGGGTGGCTGAAGAGAAGTGAGTCCGCGATGGTGAATCTCCAACGAGGCGTAATCAGAGTGACACAGTGAGAGCAGAGCACAAGGAAACAGAGTCAGTCACAGGCACAAAAGGTCTCACAAGGCAAGTTTCACCTACAGACATAACTTAATCCGGCAGGGAACTGAGGACATGGCATTATGACCACTTGCTGGTCCTTGAACCTTGGTCTCTTCTCCTTCCTTGGACCCCTGCAGACCAGTTTGGAGACGCTGACCCAGCTGTTTAGCTCTTGTCAAAGTTCAAATGATCAAATTCGTACACTTTCCCGTACATGAACTCTGAGGAGAGATCCCACCCACTGACAGGAGAGATGGTCATAATGTTATGGCTGATCGGTGTAACTCCTTCTCCTGCTAAGAGCTCAGCGTTCATCAGTACACAAAGAATGTAAATTATACTTTTATAAGTATTATTTTGAGTACCAGTAAAGTTAAACTGCAGCTGAAGTAAAAAGTTCTTTTGGGGATAGAATTTATTTGGATAGAACAGAGAAGCAGGACACGAGGGAGCGAGACTGGAATCAAACCGGGGCCGAGGCTGCTGACTGTGTACTGAGCGGTCTCTGAAAATAAAAGGTCTAAATGTATGCATATTGTGGCATTTTTCTTCGTTAATCTGGCCCCGAGTGCTGAGTGTTTACTCGGCTGACTGGAAAAGGTCAGCAGCTGTTAAACCTCATGAACTACTGTGCATCTGCAGCAAACTGGAGTCCTGAAAATAATCTAAAAAAAATTAAAAAAGTTACTTGCAAACTCTCAAGAAGGACCAAAGTCGCTGTAGTCCTGGTGGCCCAAATCCTTAAGCTCCACCTTCACATCCTGACAGTTTAGTAATCCTAAATGAACTTGGACTGCAGAAACTTGGAGAGAGTTTTAAAGAATTAGTCTAATAAAATCCCCAACAGGAGCGTTTTAAGTTGTTCTTCAGCCGGTGGAACTCCCTGCACGCCTGAATCTCTCTGTTGGGTGCAGTTTGTGTGTTGCTGATGGGGAGTTTGTTTTAATAATGTAAATGGAATTCCAACAAGAGTGCACTTTGCTCTTGCCAGGGGAAACAATATTTCTCCAAACGGATGTTATTGGACTGAAATTAAATGTGTTTTGTCTCTCTCTCTCTCTTTTAGCTCCCACTCCCATTTCTCTCTCGTTCAACCTCCAGCCTTTACTATCTATTCTGTCCCTGCCCTCCACGTTCACAGTCTGATTTGATCCTTGCAACATTGCATCACTCTGCGTGTTGAGTGATGAGCCTCTGCAGCTTTTCACCCCAACGCCATGAATCATTTATTCAGATGAGCCTGTGACAGCAGTGTCGTAGCCCTTCTCTAATACCTGACAGCAAGAAGAAAGATGCCTCGCGCCGTGAAAGGAATACTTCACGCTGCCCTCTCCACCTCCAGACAACACGAGCTCACAGGGACGCT